GATGTTCATAGAAACAGCAACCATAGCAGTTGCAGGGTGATGAGGAAGGCGACTGGCTGCTCGTGAGTGAGTGACTGGAGTGAATTAGTTCGTGTTAGATCATTAATAAAGCTGACTGCTCCATGTGTGATTGCATACTCCACTGTGTGGATGAGATGATAATGGGTGATAGCCGAATAGACTGAATGGAGAATACATTGCTGACTTGTGCGCATATTCAATACAAAAAAAACGTTTTTTTTATTGCATCAATTTGCGCGTTTCCTTGTGTTGCCAAGTATAAACCAGAAATATTTGCGCCGCTTGTCTTTACACTAATGTGTAGCACTTTCAAATATGTATATATTATTGCACTGTACAATTGCATACAACGAATCAAATATTAATGATCCATTATAACGCAGCCAGCAAAGAGTACGTACTCATTTTTGTCAGTTGATGTGTGGTACAATTGCCAGGCAGTTTTTACCATTTAAATTCAAGTCACTCACCTACTTGTCTTACACACAGAGGAGGTTCCTTGAATTACACATTCTAGTTGAGCCTGGCACGAGACTCACATCATACTCCCACGAGCGAGTCTGGACGAGGAAACACAAAGGAGCTGAAAGACTAACACAATTCCCAGATTGAAAACAATTCATATGCTTAGTTGAGGGCATGTTGGGAAACACATGTGCATCGATAATTTGGACTAGACGGGTTCAATGGAGTCTGGACATTAAATGTATTGGATCTTTTAGTATATGAAATAGACTATAAAAATATATACATTAATGGTGCAGTTATAGGCACAGAACTACAGTGCCATGTATCATATACTTGCACGACCTGTCAAAGACAACCTTACTCCATTTTTACTTAAAAATCTTTACATAGCAGGGCTCCATTAACCTGCGTAAAGATTTGTTCATGGGACAAACTTTTTTTTTATTGAAAATCGTTTTACCGGCTCGCTCCATTACGTTGCACGTGACTTTATATTTCATGTATTTTCACGTGTTTTTTTTTTACAGGACAGAGATCCCCATTTAAATATAAATGTTATGGGGTCACATTTATATTTGTTATATTTGAACCTTTCAAGATGGATGGATTGTAGTGTATGTTTTAGCTTATGCACCAGCCTCTGATTAATAATACATTAAAAATATTACACCATTGCTGTGTCATATAATGGACAGAAATGCCTTCCCTTGGCTGGGCCAACCATTTATAAATCTCCACATCTGTAATCCATCTCACTTTCCACACAGACCTTGATCCCATCAATCAATTAACCATTCATCCTCGGACGTGTTCCCATGCCTGGCTGCCTTTGCATCGTTGCACTTTGCAACTTTGCCTCTCCACTTTCTGACGCTCGAGTAGGAAACGCGCAGACTGCCTCCTCCTAAACAGTTATGCGGGTAGAGACGCAGGGCTTGTTCACGTCAGCTGTTAGTGAGCACACGATAAACGGGTCTCGTGTTAGCTAGATCCACACGTGCAGCATCTGCACTCAGACAGTTTCTTCGAACGTTCTCTTCAAGAACATTAGGGGCACATGTGTAACTTAATTGTTGTTACTCTTTGGTTCTTTCGTTAATGTCACGTAGGTATAACATATAATAAATCACGACTTTTCTGGCGCAACACAAGCGTCCGTCATCAGGTGAGGCATCCGTGTGGGTGGCTCTCCTTGTAGACCGAATGTCCCAACGAGTCATGAGGTCTCTTCTCGATCAAAACATCCAGGGGAAAGCATGGTCTGCTGCTGAGGCAGACTGTGTTATACGGTTTGAAATGGGTGTAGGCCAAGGATTATAAAGAAGTCGCCGGGGCTGGTGATATTAATGTGAAAAATTAGCATGTAACTGCAAGATGTAATTGTTGTTGTTATTAAACATTGCTTAAGAAGTGTTTTTCTTTTCATGCTGGCAAGTAGGGGCACTTTGGGTCACGTGCTGCTTGCGGTGACGTTGAAGGCATCGCTGCAGACTGAGCACTGTGCACTCACATATGCGAGGTTTGAAAAGCCAGCGCATTGCATCTGCCAGTGATGACATCAACACAGATTGTATAATGAAGCCAAGCTGAGGCACACCATACATCACTGATGGTTGTCACCAGTTGGTTGAGGCAGTCCATTTGTCACGGAATGGCCCCGGGGCAGAGAGAAAACTTGAGTAAGATGGAAATTCGCACTGCACACTGACATACACACACACACACGCAGAAGCGCGCTTACCTTGTGTTACACTTGAATGTGTACTTCACAGGCAACGTGTGTCCATTAAGACTTTGACAGCTGCAGAAAGAAAAAAGACATGGCTCACACCTCGCCTTGCAAAAAAAAAAACTGGCCGAGCATTTTAAGCGCCTTAGGGGATCACTCAATGTTACATTTCTTCGAATGTACAAAGACTGCACTGAAAAAAGAGGACGAGGAGACACCCATATCAATTGCTGAAGTCACGGGACATGTCAAATTGCAGATTTCCAGTACACATATTCTAAACCCATATAAAATAATGTGATGATGTGTTTTAAAAATGTAGGATACTGTCGTGGTGTAATGGTTAGCACACTGATCCTTAACTATCCAGAGGTAATCTTCTTGGTTCTTTCGGTAAAGTCACGTAGAATGGAAATAATAAAATAATAAAAATTGAACATAATAAAATAATTCTCACGACGTTTCAGCCACAACGCAAACAGCCGTCCTCAGGTGAAGACCAGGTCTGTCGGGGAGACAGCGTCTGAATGAAACAACACCATGCTGTTGGTATTCACCTGAGGATGGCTGCTTGCGTTGTGGCCGAAACGTCGTGAGCATTATCTTATTGTTTTATTTTATTATTTTATTATTTCCATTCTACGTGACTTTACCGAAAGAACCAAGAAAATGGGCTCGTTTCTTGAATCAAGCCCAGCCCCGTCATCTCTCACACATATCCACCAGCAGCAGTATAAATGGGGACACCGCAGTCAAGTCGATCGGCAGGTCGTGTGTGGTGGGACAAAGTGTGTGGGTACTCCCACTGATTCCGAGATGTCTTGCCAGCTTGAAAGAGTAGGCCATATTCCTTCTTCTCGAGTTCATCCTCTAGCGGAGGCCTTTCTCCTAGCAGTGACGTGGGGATGTAAATGCTGAACTGTATTCTCTTTCAATGAATTAAATGACAAATATACAATGTTGTAAATAATGTCAAGACGCCTGTCAAATATTTATCACGTATTGTCCTAAGGACATTTTGCCGAGGTTGAATTCCTGATATCATTCTACCCCACACATTGCTCGACAAAACAACAACATGAATTCAGGGAAGGGATGACTCGAGAAACAAAGATAGATAAATGAATAAAGAAAATAAATCCAAGAAAGGCTCTTTTATGAGTTTCAAACTATAATAGCCCAGCAGAATCCACGACAGACAAGACATTTAAAATGTGAAATGAATGTGAAACAAATCCAATTATATTGTGACACATTTGCTGATCAGTGGCAGTAAAAAAAAGAAAAAATATACAAAAATCAGCAGGAATAACACACGGAGGTGTAACCGTTTCTGTTTACACAGTAAATATCAGCGTGTTGAATGATTTTTTGTCATATTTTGCCAAGGAGTGTGCGTGGTTTTTTTGTGATGGTGACATTTCTTTACATTTCTGCAGTGTGTGTAAAGTGGCCTGCACGAGTCAATGACAACCTCGTTCGGTTTGTGAGCCGAATGACGGCTGCGATCGCAGTGCAATGAGGGCTTGTTCCTCTTCATGGCATACAACATTGGGGTTAAAACCAAGCGATGGAACAGTGGTGAAAGTTTTGATTTAAATCTTTCGTGACTGCAGGGATTCATATTCTTGGTTCTTTCGGTAAAGTCACGTAGAAGGGAAATAATAAAATAATATAAAATAAAATGTTATACTTATATTATTTCCCTTCTACGTGACTTTATATAAAGTGGTAAAATACTCTACAGAAATACGAACACTTTCACCACTATTCTTGGTTCTTTCAGTAAAGTCACGTAGAAGGGAAATAATAAAATAATATATTATTTTATATTATTTATTATGTAGAGTATTTTACCACTTTATATACACGCAGTATCTTATCTTAGATCAGTTTTCTTCGTTCTCACCCTCGCCTCAATTTATAACTTTTGGTATGAATGTCAACAGCTTTAAATGTCATTATAATCAGTTAACATGAACAGGCCGCTCAGGTTCCGCCCTTAATCTCCTCGTCTAAGCAGACGCGATTCCTTGACTCAAATTGCATTTCACAACTCCGTTGAGCAACCGGTAAATATTTAGGGATTAAACTTACAGTTTAACAGACAACATGAACACAACCAGGAGACCCGACCTCCAAATAACAAACTTAAATCTTGAGTGGCACCCTAGTGTGGAAATGTTAACATATGTGTGTATATACAATTAGATATGTTGATAATACATTTATGAGCATGGATTCTTGTATTATATTTTTTGTGGGAAATATACTGACATGAAATGCATAATCTCAACCTAAAAAACAATTACCTTAATACGACTTCATGTTACTGTTTATTTTTCGATACATCATTTAATATATCGGGATGTACATGTACACATTATAAAACGAAATGCTATTACAATCCATTCTCATTCTCCACTCTTGAGATGTCATGCTGGCTTCAACTCCTCACATCCGTTGAACCTTGGACCAATCTCACTCCTGCATGTGCTTTTGATGAAACTGCTCCCCTCTATGATTCAATTGTCATCACATAGTCACTCTTGGCTTGCCACTTTGGCACTAATTGTGGGCCCTTCTGCACCGATGTAACCTGCCAAAGTCAACACGAGAAATATTTCGTGACGGAGTGAGTGCATTCTTTCGACCGGGTTTGTCAATGCCCGTGGCGGTGATAAATCTGCGAACCGATAATAACGAGTCAGGGGTGAGGCAGATAACTTTGGACTTTTATTTAAAGAGTTATTTTATAAAAACAATAATTTTGTTTGGTGGTCCATAATGAGGCATGAAAATAAGGGAGTTGGGTCTCGGGGGGGAGGGGGGGGGTGAAAGAGGGGGCAGAGATTGCAACGGGTCTGGGGGAGGAGGGCCGATAATGGGGTGGTGGCAAAGGTTGAATGGACGCATGCCTCCGACAAACACTTTCAAAGGCAAATGACAAAAAACCGTCAGTGCCCAATAAGCAATCCACATGTAAAACCACAAGATTGAAACAGACAGCATCTTCAAGCAGGATGGTCACAATTTAACACTATCAGTTGCGCCCAAGTTAACAAAAGCAGGCAATAATAACAAAGGACAGCAGACCTTGATTTTTTTTCGTGAAAAAAATATGATTATCAGGTAACTTTTTTTTTCAAAAAGATATTGAAATGCCTTCTTTAGGATGATTAACGATTGGTTATCTTCAAAATCTTTTTTTTTGTTATCCTTATCGTTCTGCCCTGTTCATAGTTGTCTTGCCACTTTGGAGACATAAGTTGAACTTGAAACTAAACCTCCGCTTTACATGATCTAATAATAAAAAAGGGAATGCTTTTTTTTGTTCTGCTATGATACATTTTTGAAAAAAGTTGTTGACAATCTGGATATTAATTCATCAAGGCCTTTGTTTCATGTAACTTTAAATTCTTTTTAAATCGTTTTTTTCCTAACGTATCATTTTAAACCATATCAGGCATCACGCAACATTCTCAATAACCGAACAAAACCATATATAGAGCATGTATACATGACATGTATGTGTTTATACATAAATATACACACATACCTATACATATACACGCACGTGGGTAAGTCTTTACTTTCATAAAAAAAAGTCAAGGCATTTCATCAGTACAAATTGGTCTTTTCCATCATTCCGTTTCTTTTTTTCTTTTCTTGCAGTCGCTTTCCACTCCTCTCTCTTTTTCCTATTTATACATTTACTTTTTTTTTGCATGGCACAGTGGCCTGCTGTGCTGCAGATTGGAGACCAGCCGATCGGGCCGGTCGCAGATTGCAAACAGCATACTTTTGGAGGGGGGGCCCCCGTGGCTGCGCAGAGATGTACAATCCCATCTCGTTATCCGGTGTGGTTGCTGTAATTAATGTACGTCGTTGGTTTCTTCGCCGGTGCCACTGGAAACAACAAAAAATATATAGTTTTAGCACACACGCACGTAAGCAATCCAATCAAACAACTCAAAGCAGTACGTTCTATCAGCATTATGCATATAGAGAAATTTATCTTTGTTTTTTCAAATAATCGCGTGATCGTTCGCACCCCGATGCGATTTCGACTTGTACCAGCGTATTGCTTCATCAGCTACGACAAGGCCTTGCCTATCCTGCTGACCAACCTACCCCAGTCCCTATCAATACCCCAAACCCTATCACTACCCCTACCCCTATCACTACCCCAACCCCTATCACTACCCCAACCCCTATCACTACCCCAACCCCCATCACCACCCCAACCCTATCACGACCCCAATCCCTATCACTACCCCAACCCCCATCACCACCCCAACCCTATCACGACCCCAATCCCTATCACTACCCCAACCCCTATCACTACCCCAACCCCTACCACTACCCCAGCCCCAACCCCTATCACTACCCCAACCCCTACCACTACCCCAGCCCCAACCCCTATCACTACCCCAACCCCTATCACTACCCCAACCCCTACCACTACCCCAACCCCTATCACTACCCCTATCACTACCCCTGCCCCTATCACTACCCCTGCCCCTACCACTACCCCAACCCCTACCACTACCCCAACCCCTATCACTACCCCTATCACTACCCCTGCCCCTATCACTACCCCTGCCCCTATCACTACCCCAACCCCTACCACTACTCCAACCCCTATCACTACCCCAACCCCTATCACTACCCCTGCCCCTATCACTACCCCAACCCCTACCACTACTCCAACCCCTACCACTACCCCGAACCCCTATCACTACCCCAGCCCCTATCACTACCCCAACCCCTATCACTACCCCAACCCCTATCACTACCCCAACCCCTACCACTACCCCAGCCCCAACCCCTATCACTACCCCAACCCCTATCACTACCCCTGCCCCTATCACTACCCCAACCCCTACCACTACTCCAACCCCTACCACTACCCCGAACCCCTATCACTACCCCAGCCCCTATCACTACCCCAACCCCTATCACTACCCCAACCCCTATCACTACCCCAACCCCTACCACTACCCCAGCCCCAACCCCTATCACTACCCCAACCCCTATCACTACCCCTGCCCCTATCACTACCCCAACCCCTCCTTAACCACTCCCACCTGTCCTCCTAACTGTCACCATAACTACACCACCACTTTTAATAACGCCCTCTTTATTTCAACCACTATCATATTTTGAACAATTTTATAATTATTTTAAAGCAGCCTTTGACTAAGGCCTCTTTACAATATCTATATAAGATAAGAAGATAAGACGCCTCTTCAGGAAGTTCCCAGGAAGCGCAGTAAAGCTTCCACGCGTCGTAATTAATAATACGCGGTACGACTCAAGCAAACATCCGAGAGTTAGCGCAACCACGCGGAAACCTACGCGGTCGTACTGAGTCATCGTTTCATCGACTGCAATCAAACATGCAATTCTGTTGAATTGTAATGCTCCCCTCTGTTCCATCAATCGTCATCACGATCCATGGGAGGATATCGCGAAGGTGTCCACTGCACATTTCGTCATTTGTTTCAACTTTCCTCTGCCTTGTGCCAACATGCTCGAGCAATGGGCCACATCTTGCTGGCACCATTCTCTCCGATGTCGTCGTTAAGCAATTCTCTGTGAGGTCTTCCTCTCTTTCTGATTCCTTTCATGTTTCGCGAACAACAATAACAGCAACACACTTTGAATTTTATTGATGTTGTCCATCCTACATATGTGTCCAAATAGCGCCGGTTTCCTTCTCGTCACTGCCCGCATCATCAGATCTTATTCCCCGTGCAACCTTGAACTTACCTCTACGTTGGTCACTATTTGGGTCCAGTTTCGATGCAGCATCCTTCTGTAGCAATATATTTAGAAAACCAATATCTTATTTGTTCCATCAACATTAATTAAGAATTTCCTTTCATTTTGCAACTACTGTTTACTGAACCATTCCTCTCGCATACTTATTCTGATTATGATTCAGAAGCTTTGCAATTTTACGCCAGATGTTAACTTAGCCCAATCCTCTGAAGTAATTACTGTGTTCAATCATGAAGAATATATACAACTAAAAAGAATGTCCACTCGATCATGCATTCACTTGTGAGTTTTACACATCGCTCGTTAATGCTGGTGCACACACGCAAGCACGTCGGTAATGGCATTTGTTTCGTGGCTTTTAATGAGAGTGCTTCAATTTCTTGTAAAAACGGTCACAACTTGTAAAAGAAAGGTCATAAAATATGACCACCACCGAGTTTTAAGCATCAGCACCCTAAACAATGTCGACTGAGAGCTCTTTGTCGTCTGAATTGAGTGCTGGAAGCCTACTAAAGAGAAGCCATATTGCACACATCGCATCTCTTATCCCGTACAAATACAAGTGCCTCTTTCTATATTTTTTATGTTAATATGCACCACGTGTAATGGTGCAATCCAGAGGTCGCCAGTTCCAACATCCGGTGCGGCAGTTGAAACAATGGTGCACGTTTGATTACATTACTCCACTCCTGCCCACTCAGCAGAACACTGGGAATGGGTACACCGCAGTCGAACATCAGATCGGGTGTGTTGAGGGAAGGTGTTGGCACTGGCGAGTTGTTAACTCCATCGCCTAGTATTCAGGGGGTCCGTGGGTATCGATCTCAACCCTGACACCTGCTCTATTATTGGAGTCTGCGTGTCCTCCCTGTGGTAGCGTGGAATTTTATTGAGGCCCTCCGGTTTTCCCCACCACATTTAGAATCAACATCACGCGTTTTAGAGTATTTGGCTGCAATACATTCCCACGTAATAAGCCACTTCTCGTTAGGCTCTCATTTGGGACCAGGTCGCTTCTGACAAGAAGCTATATAGCTCAGTGAGCCTCACCTGATCAAATAAAATCAGTTTCAATTGTATTTTAGTTTCCAACACGTCTGGCTAGCGTCGGAGTGTAGATTAAATGTGCCATGGAGGGGCTCCCTGGAGCTCGCTCTACACCAGGGCATCTCGCACCCCTTAGGGGTGCAACACATGCTAAATTATTTTAGAAGGTAAATAATCGAAAAAACAAATGAAGCATGGTCACGTAAGTACAACTACTTTACACGTAGGCGTCCACGACGAATATTATTAATAATGAAGGTTTTTGGGTTAGATCGCGGAAGTATAAATGTGTCGTAACCCTCCACCACCCGACACAGCCATTAAGGTTTATCACGTAAACAACGCGCCAATTAGCTTACTGCTTCAGCCCACCGGTGTGTTGAAGAGTAAATCCACAAAATGTACAATTTGAGTAGTACGACGTTTCGCTGGTAATTACATCAACCAGCATCATCGGGCGATTTGCTAAAATAGTGAAGCAATCCACCTGCTTCTTGTCTTAAGTAGAGCAAGATGACGTCATCACTGAACCAATCATGTGCAGAGATCAGAGGCGGAGGAGGAGGGGTGGGTATTCCAATTAAAGGGGTGCAAGGCTGCAGTAAAGGTTAAGCACCACTGCACTAAATGGAGGCCTTCCCACCAGCAGTGGTTTTCGAGAGCGATTTGCAGGGCTGCGCAGAGAGGAATGTGGCACTCTCACGCTTTGTAAGCTGGACGTGAGCCAGACGTCATTGGCAATCGTTATTTCTACCCAAACACATATATATACACACACACATCTGAAAAATGTCACCACTTAGTGGACACTGTGACCATAATAGCACTTTAGTGATACTGGGAATCAACAATGCACTCCTCTTAATGAATATACCATTATTAAAATAATATTTCTGTTTATATGAATGTTGTGGCAGTGGCTGCATTATCGATGCTCGGCCAGCCAGCTGCAAGCGGCAACATGGTCATGGGCGATGGGCAAAAGCCAACTATGCAGTTTGCATCACTTTCACACTCCAATTAATCAATACACCCCCTGCGTGCATGGCAAACTCGGAAACACAAGAGTAAACAACGGCTCCTTGTGTATTGTCTAACCATGAAAGCCTCATCTGAGTCTCCATAATATTTTTAAAGGAGGGATCCTGCCAGATTTTCACATACGGAGAGCCATGTTGCTGTTGCTGCTGTGTGATCCCTATTTAGTAAACTGTAAGTAATGTATCAGCATTTACTTGATACAGCAAGCGTGCTGTGACGGTTCCACCTGAAGACGGAAGTTTGTGTTGCCTCCGAAACGTCGTGATTTTATTTTATTTTGTATTTTACTTTTATTAATTTTTATTTTTATTTTTTACCTACGTGACTTTACCGAAAAAACCTAAGAATATGAATCCTTGCAGTCACGAAAGCTTCAAATCTAGAATTAATGTATCAGCATTGTGATGTTTGACACCAGAGAACCCGAATAGCCTCATGCAGAATAGCCTGAGAACGCACAAGCTATAGATCTATGCACGTATAGATCTAGATTGAAAACTCATTTATTAAGAAATGCTCTTTATGTTGAGTTTGTTGTCTTTCCCCCACGACTCCGATAAGCACGGTTGGCTACGTAACCAGAACGGCACTACAAAGTGACAACATGAGTCCGTGTAATGTCGCGATAAATTATGATGATATACCGTAGGTGTGTTAAGCCCAACTATCGACGCTTCCCATTGGTTGCTGACTCTGTGGCATCGCCTCCCATTGGCTGGACGAGGCTCATGCGTGCATCAACGATGCCCGATGCGGTACTCAAACCAGAGGTCGCAACCGGGTACCCGATACCCGTACCCTACCCAATACCCGGCTACCCGTACCCGGCCAGGTATGGGTACGGGTACCCGTTTGCGACCCTGGTGCGGCCGGGTACGGGTAGGCCGTGAGTCACTGATGAGTAACCGTTTGTCACTCATTTCCCAACGTCTTGTCTCTTCTCACAATTCAAGTTCCTAGAATCAACCCACCCGCGCCTGCAACATGGTTTCATCCCAGAGGTCGCAATCAGGTACCTGATACCCGTACCCTAC